GATATTCGTATCTCGTTATTACTTACGACCACGGACAATTTAAGATTCAATCAGATGTAATTTGTATCTCACAATCACAACTCTTTGTGATTAACAAATTACGAAAATTTGAATTTACGGACTCAATTATTTATTTAATTGTCTATTAATTAAATAACAGATCTGTCATTAAATTACATTAATTATATATCAAAAGTATTTATGTCCAAAGTCGATTAGACTTAGGGCATAATACTTACAATAGGGGCCTATCAAAGGCCCCCATTTGAGCAGCATATTTTAGAAATTATATGGTAAAAATGACAAATATAAGTCTTGTGGAGAAAGAATGAGATTCAATTCTTGAGAGAAGTTGGGAAGCATAATTTTGAAGAAAAATCTCGTGCAAATAGGGGAGTTGAGAAAAAAAATTGTGGGGTCAGTACCCTGAATCCATTAGTGGGTGCAATTGTAAAGTTTGGAGTAGTTTGAGAACTTGGCAATGCAATCTTTATTTCAAAATCGGGAAAGGATAAACACGATAGAGTAAAAAATCTTGCAAAATGCATTTTTTAATGCATGATTTTGTTAATTTTCTCTCAAAAAGTGAAAATTGCTTTTTCAGGGAGTAGAGGCTGTGAAAGAGTCATCTACTAAACGAACACATGATTTTATAATGAAATATCATTTTAGTTCTAATATTGGAAAAAAATTGTATCTTATGTGCATGGAAGCTTCTCAAGAAGAGCTCTGCTACAATCTTCTCTCTCATGATTTGAAACATGTTAGGACGTTGATTGCGAATAATTGAAATTAAATTGCAAGAGGTTCCAAATGATCTCTTGAAATTAATTTAGTCGCGGTATCTCAAGATGAGAAACAATCTTATAAGAGAGTTCTTTCATCGTGTTAATGTTTAGTTTTAATTATGTTAAGAATCGATAATTACAATCCAATAAATTAATAAAATGAATTCATATCTGCGAAAATCATCGTTGATATGAATAATAGTTGTAATTGTAATACCAGTCAGATCTTCCCCTCCTTGCTCTTCACAAAATATTAGTCTTCAATGGAACAAGCTAATAAAACCATATGGAGAGGAGAGGGGACCTAGCTTTTATATAGGAATTTATTTAGTCATCACATTATCGACTTAAACCCTAATTAGGGTTTACTCATAATTTCGCCCCACATACTCGAAATTACCACATTATATCAAATAAAGCTCATAAGGTGTAAAACTGTCCAAATTGATCGCTTAATATAATTGGCTTAATCATAATGTCATTGTGAGCCAACATCTAACCCGTAAAATTTTACAATCGAATCTAAAGTCCATATTTGGAATTATTTCAACATTCTCCCACTTATGCAAACATTTGACTGTTAAAACAAAACTTTTAACATCCGGATT